CCCCCCCCCCCCCCCCCCCCCCCCCCCCCCGCCGCCCCCCCCCCCCCCCCCAAAGGACCAGAAGCTGATCCAATAGTTTTTTTTGGGAGGTTTCTGGGCTTACCGTCAGTTATTGAGTGCGAGAACGGAGTTGTCGTTGAGTTGATTTGTCGACTGATGCATGTTGTGTACTCCTACGGAGTATACTCACGAGATTTGTGTTCAGTATCTTACGGGGTTAGCACAACTGTTTCTTAAGCTCAACGTTGTTCTACTGTAGAAACATGTCTTCCCCCCATCACAATAGACGCGTGAAGCAAAGAAACGCAGAACTAGAAACAAGAAGCGTGAAACAATTTATTGTCTCTCTAAACCGTCACTTTACAAGTCTCTTTCTCTCTATGTAACAATTTTGCTTTTTACTTTATTTCCTTCATTCTTCATGAATGAACAAACAAAAATTCCCGAAACGCATTCCAAAGCTTCTAGAATCAAGCCTCGACGTTCTCGAAGAAGAACGTGGGCTGGCCAGGGACCGCATGATCGGCAACGGGCACGGATATCTCCACCTCCTTACCGTCTGACAACTGAACGCCCTTCTTGCCGCCCTCCTCAACCACCAGGACATCGAGGACCGACAGGCCCGAAGTTCGCTTCAGGCCGGCCTGCATCTGGCTCAGCGTCTCCTTCTCGTCAAACGCCAGCTTCTGCTCCAAGACGACGGTGGCAGGCTCGCCGGCCTGCAGGCGCTTCTTCAGGCTCTGGACAAAAGGCATAGCCTTCTTCATCTCGCCCAGCTTGCCGATGCGGCCGTTGAGAGCCTTGTCGTCGACAGACTTGGCCGCGGGATCCCACAGCTCCTTCAGCAGGTCAATGTACTTGGCCTGCCAGGCAGGGAACTTGGCCGCCACGAAGATGGTCAGCTTCTTGGGCTTCTTGGGGTCAAACGCCAGCTCCTTGCCCTTGGCCTTCTTCTTCAGCTGCTGGCCCTCGGCGGAGTTGATGTTGGAAGCCGTGTTTCGGACGTACTCGCGCTTGGCTGACAAGGCGGCATCGACTGCGGGCACCTCAGGGAACTTGGCATTGTGGATGGTGGAGTCCTTCTTCAGGACCTCCAGCCAAATGTACTCGGACCAGTGAGGGGCGATGACGGCCATCAACAGGGCCTGCAGTTCAATGTATCTAAAGACCAAGTCCTTGTGCATCTTGATGCCGCCAGCCGTGCAAGCCTCGCGGTAGAAGTCACGGGCACTGGTCAATTCGTACAGAGCGGCCTTTAGGGCCAGCTTGTAGTTGGTCAGCCCGTACTGCTCGATGGCCTCCTTGGCGCAGGCGTTCAGCTCGTTGTTGAACAGGCCGTCCTGGAAGTTGTTGATCTCGCCGGTACGCAGCTCGTTCTGCTCCTTGACCATCTCCTCACACCACTCACGCAGAGTGAACAGACGCAGAATGTTGTTGTCGGCAACATCTTCCTCGAAGTTGGCATCGTTGACACCATCACCGGCATCGGCCAGAGCGATACGAGAGGCATCGGCACCGTACTTCTCCACCATGTCCTTCAGGGTCATGAAGTTGCCAGTGCTCTTGGCCATCTTTTCACCGTTCAGCATCAAGTGGCCGTTGGCTCGGACACCGCGAGGCCAGTACTCGGGCGGGAAGATGGCCAGGTGGATGTACAGGAAGAAGGTCAAGTGGTTAGGGATCAGATCCTTGCCGGAGCTTCGCAGGTCCAGAGGGTAAAAGTATTCAAACTCTCGTCGCATGCTCTCCAGGGTCTCGCGAGGGATGCCGGAGCTGGCAACCACCTCGTCCGACAGGTCGCGGCGGCAGAAGATTGAGTCCCAAACCTCGTCAGTCATCTGCTCAGCGCCGATGTTGCCAAGGCCCTTGGTGCGGCCGAACAGGTCCTTGTGCAGGTAGTGAGCAACAGTGTAGTAAGCCATGTAGATGGTAGAGTCACTCAGACTCTCAACCAGGAACTGAGGGTCCCAAGGCAGCTTTGATCCCAGACCAAATGATCGAGCACAAGCCCACTGGTTCAGCCAGTTCAGCACACCCTCAAAGCCATTCTTGGTCTCGGGAGCCCAGGTCTCCAGGCCCTTTCCGTCGGCATTGTCAACCCACTTCAGGGCAGTGTCCCTCCAAGAGGGCTCACCGTAGTCCAAGTACCATTGGTCCATCAGCGAGACGATGCAGTCATCGCCGGATCGGCTGACGACCTTGCGCTCGGGCTCCGAGTAGGCAAAGGCCAAGCCGGCCTCAATCAACTGAGCCCTGACCTTGGGCTTGGCAATCTCGACCTTCTCGCCCTTGAAATCGCCAACCTTTAGGATACCCTGATAGAATCCTTCCTTGTAAGCCAGCTCCTTGGCCTCCTCCAGCTGCTTGGTGTCCTTGGGCGACCCAACCTTTAGCTTCTTCACCAGGAAAGGTGCGCACAGGTCGCCATAAGACGGGGTCTCGATGATGGGATGGATCTCCAGCTCTGCCCACTCCTTCTGGATTCCGTAGTACCAAGGCTTCTTGGTCAATTCAATCAAGGTAGCGTAATCGTCGGGGCTGTCTGATGGGACAGAGGTGACGACACCGGTACCCTTAGTGGGCAGGACAGTCTCCATGGGCAAGACTCGGACACCCTCCGTGTGCAGAGATAGAGGGGCGTTGACCAAGGTTCCAACAATGTCGGCGCCCAAAATCTCAGCAGCCTTCTCGATGGAGCCCTCCTTGGCAAAGATGCCCTGGTAAGCCATGTTGCGAGCAGCTCGCTCGGTGATGACAAAGTAATTGTTCTCATCAACCTTGAACAGGCCGTAGGTCAACTTGGGGCCGATAAAACAGCACGTCTGTCCGTACATGGTCTCTGGTCTCAGGGTGGCAGGGACCAGGAAGACATTGGCGCCCTCGGGGATCTTCCCCTTGAGGGCCTCAGCAGCCTTGGGATTCCACTCCAGGACCTTGAGCTTCAAGGCAGTGTACTCTTGAGGGTTGACTGCCTCTCCTTCGGAACGATCGTGGTCCATGCAGGGCTGGCCATCCTTGATAGAGTAGATGGTATATCGCTTGCCAAACTTGATCTTGTTCAGCTCCTTCAGTCGGTTCATCTGCCAGCGGATGAAGGCATCGTAGTAAGGGTTGGCATCGGTTGTAATGAATGATCGTCGCCAATCGATTCTCGCACCGAAGCTTGTCAGATCCCTGATGGCCAGGGGAGGGAAGTACTTCAACCAGTACTGGGAATCGGCAAACTTGTGGATCTCTTCGGTGGGGATTCCAATGGCCTGCATAATCTGGAACTGGTACTTCATCTTGACCGTCTTCGCGTTGGCCTTGCTCTTGTTGGTCGTGAACTTGGTGACATCTTCCTTGGCCTGCTTGACAGCAGGCTTGGGCGCCTCCTCAACAACGGGCTCATCCTCCGCCTTGTATTCGGAGAAGTCCTCGCCGAACAACTTGATCTCGTTGACCAGCTTATCCGCACAGGCCTTGATAGGCATACCGGTGCAGTGGAAGCCCATGGGGAACAGCGCCCGCTTGCCCTGCATTCTAGCCGTGCCCGCGGCAAACTCGACCTTGGTAGCCGAGAAGGTGTGGCCGGCGTGGAGGGTACCGTTCATGTAGGGATAGGCCATAGTACCGAAGAACTTGGGCTGCTTCTCTCGCAGCTCGGCGGGCGAGATGGAGTGGAAGGGCACTTCGGTAGTCGTTGGGGCATTCGTCTCGAAAACCCGGTCCTCTCGCCATTTTTGCTGATACTTCTTCTCGACGACGATCAGGGAATCGCGCTTCTCTGTCTGGGCAGACGTTAGCAGATGCGGCCAGGGCAATAATAGACAATTCAAGATTCTCTCTGCATACTCCTTTCAATTCCTTGGTCTTGGAGATTGTCAGGGCCTCCACGGCCTTTGCTGCCGCGTTGGTCGACATGTTGGCAATTCTTGGTCGCTGACAAAGAAAAGAAGAAAAGAAAAGTTCCTGGGGATCAGAAGAATAGCCCAGGGAGGATTGGCTTTCTTTTATGCTTCCTTCCCACAGCTCTGCTCTCTTTTGACTCACTTGCGCAGAGAGAATGCGTCAAGTATTTTCTCTGTTGACTCACGGCAAGCGGGATGTCAGACTAGAAATAAAGATCAAATTCGGAAGATTAGCGGGATAAGATGGTACCCCTCAGTTAGGGCGTTGGTTTGGGCACTAATACAGATTTCGTACATATGTATATCAACCCGCCTTCTAGCTAGCAAGTACCCGGAGGGTTAACTACTATACCTACCTGTAAGCAGGACTATTTAGGCCCCTGCCTGTCGTACTAGAGAGGCGGGTTTTTTATCCGTATCTTGTGGCAATGCGTGTCCAACCATCTAAACTTCTGCCCTATAATAACATGATTATACAGGGTAAAATGAAAACAATTTTTATATGAATAGATTAGCCTGTAAACAGTTTAACCAAAAATTTTTTTATTACTTTAATATTTGAAAAAAAAAAACGGCTAGATATGTAAAATGACTAGGTAGCTAATGGAAAATAATAAAAACGATACATTAAAATTGTATGATATATTAGACAACCTAAGCGTTCTATAGTTGTTATTAGCCAACATCATAACCCTGGATATGCATTGTCACACAATATGGGCTATGTTCCTGCCTCTTCAGCAATGAGAGGCGGGGGCTTGGCCGGCCTGTTTATTAGTCAACCCGCCGGTAAGCTCAGATCAGCCAACATTCCTTCATTGTCCAGTCTAGGCATCTAAACTACAGGTCTCATTCTAAGCAGTCTTCCGGGGTAAAACAGCTTTGAGTTTCAGTCTGACGCAGGTCAATAAAAACGTGGTTCTGTTGCAGTGGTCATGTACAGAGGCCGGAGACGTGAAAAGTGATCGCGGGGCAACTTTTTCTAGACGAAAATTGTGGCGTTGCTGGCGTGGCGGTGTTGTGGCTGCCGGCTTTTGCAGGCTCTCGTTGACAACTTTTGCTAGCTCAACGGCGTCATCTACCTACCAACTCGTATGCTCTGCTATCTCAATTAGTATCTCCGATCTTGCCTGCAGAAGAATCATCCTTACCGCAGGAATCTCACATAAGAAATGTTTCCAACCCTCGTCAGACGGCTAGCCCAATCAGCAAAGGAACCCCTGACCAAGAGGATTCCCTTGACTATCGCAAACAATCCTTTCAAGGCTCGCAAAGTGTGGCCGCCCGACTTCAAAGGATTGACCCATCAGCAACAGCTTCGGTTTGAGAAGAAGTACAAGCGTCGCATAACCCTCGCACACCATTCGCCACGATGGCAGAAGGGCGTCAAGTATGCGCAGCTCGTTACAATTGCAGGTCAGCTAGCCCTTTACAGTGGAGTACACCATATAAGAGATGCATCATAGCTGACTACGAGGACAGCCGCGTTGGTATGGTTGCTTTTCTATTCTGAATTCGAGTGGTGGGGACAGCAGTATAAGCCATCAGAAGAGGTTTGTCACGGAAATAATCATACTGATTCATTTGACTTCAATACGCTCACACGGAGCTTTTAGTTGCGAAAACACTACACCAATCTCTTTGGCGTTCTGGACCCTGAGAAGCGATACGAGCGCCGGAAGGACGCCCCAGAAGTAAATCCGTCGTCGAAAACCCCCGAGTCGAAATGAGCTGTAAGATAACGGAACTCTCCGATGTATGTAATATAGTACTCGTATATATGTGGCGTTTGGCGTAATACCCATGTTGGGCAAGGGGGGAGACAAAGAAATGTATGCATATGCTGGTCATAGTTCTATCCGATCCACCTCTTTACATGCCGTAATCGTATAATCATTATACCCGCCCTGTCCAGGCAAAGTTGCCTCCAATCCCCATTCCCGATCCAATCGTGCTCCGTCCCTCGTTTACCGGCCGTTTGGCGACGGTTCCTTGAGCTCTGACGCCAGCGACAATGCGATCTAGGCTCGTTTCGATGACGACGCCTCCGATAATCATTTCTGATAATGTTGCGTGTAAAGTTTCAAAGTTGAAGATGAGGTCTAGCTCGCAGACATTTTCAAACAACTTGTCGAGTGCCTCGACATATACTTGTATCAAATCGATCAAAGCAAGAGGCGATTCCGTCGATGTCGAGATGACGATGAAGTAGAGGGTCGCATAATGGCGGTATGTCACCAGCGAAGGCACGTCGCTCTGCTCCTCCGTCGAGCTATGCGACGTGCTGGAAGCGGCTAGAAGAGGAGGCAGCGGCAAGAAGTTGCAAGAGCCAGTCGGCCGATTCGACACGAGGGTGAATATCTCGGAGATCAGGCGCTGCTGAATGCTCGTGTCCTGTTTGACCACGTTGAATCAGTATCCCATCCTGGTTATGCGCATCAAAACGACGTGGTCGCAACTCACCAGCTGCGTGTAGAACTTGGTAAGCCGAGGCTGGCCCTGGTTATTGAAAACCAAGAATGCGCTGATCATGGCCGCGAAACGAGGCTCATCATCGCCCAGAGACCTTGTTTCTGTTTGGCGGGATGTTGATGGAAGAGAAGTGGTGGGGCCGATACAGGTGACGGCGTGCTGAGAGCTCCAAGTGACGTTGCTAAAGCTGCGTGACTAAGCAGAAGGAACCTCAGGATACCTCCAAGGACGAGTGAAAATAGAGGCAGCCAAAGTCACTCTGCGTCCCCGGTCGTACCTCGAATGCCGAGCCCCAAGTATGGGGTACATGCTGTGACGAAACCTTTCGGTCTCCAATTGGCTTCCCAGTCATTCCCAAGATCGAGCTCAAAGCTTCTTCAGCTCTTCTCTCTTCTCCTCACGCCCTCCACTTCAGCCAGCCGGCAATTGGCCATCTAGAGGATACACATTATCCCACAGCCCATCAAAGCTTTTGAAAAGCTCGAATTGCGCAATTACATCTCCGATCTAGAATCCCGTCAAATTCAAAGCAGCATCTTCTTCAACCCCACCACCGAGCACAATGGCATCATCAAGCATCTCAAGACAAGGCTTCAGCCTCCTCGGCCGAGCAATGCGCACTCCAAGAGCCGTTCCCGCAAGCTTCCGCCTCATCCCCAGCGTCTCGCGCGCAGTTGCGCCTTCCACGCCTTCCCAGCGACGACAATTCTCGGCTCACGCGAGCTTGCGCAAGGGCATCATGCCGGATACCTCCAATCCGGACAAGGCGGCCCCAAAGACCGAGACGACATTTGCCGTTGCCGAGCTCTCCGATGCCGAGTACAACGATCTCTCGGACGAGTACTTGCACGATCTTCTTGAGAAATTCGAGACTCACCAAGACAACGGCGCCCCGATTGACGTGGAATACTCAGTCAGACTTGCCCCTCCACTACTCTCCCACGATGCAATTCACTAACCACCTCCCCAACAGTCCGGCGTCATGACCATCACCGTAGTTAGCAAGGGCACCTACGTTATAAACAAGCAGCCTCCGAACAAGCAGATCTGGCTGTCGTCGCCGTTGTCCGGTCCCAAACGATACGATTTCTGCGTTGCCAGCGAGGGCCAGGGAGATAAAGAGGGCACAGCATTGGGAACCTGGATATATGCACGCGACAATTCGAGTTTGGACGAGCTTATATTCAACGAAATCGAGGTTGACCTGTAAAGCCTATGGAATCGTGGGAGGGCGAGAGCTGGCATTGCAACGCGAGGCGTGGAGTTATAAAGGTGTTTGCGCCAGAAAGTTATAATAGAGGTTGACCAGCGAAAGTCGCAAATGATGTATTCCGCTCTGTAATATTACAACAACAAAAAAAAACCCCCCAAGACAGCAATATTTGTACAATTGTGTTTCAATTCCTTCGTACACTTCTGATTTTCATCAACTCATGTGCTACCTCTTGGTATCTTCAGCCCATACAAATTTCTCCTCTCGGATGCGTCTCATCTGACAAATTTCATCGGAGACAGAGCCCCATGCTCTTGTTGAGCATTGCAATCGTCATATTGTAGTGCTGCATCGCATCCTGCTGCAGCTTTCTTGTCTCGGGTCTAAATCTCATTAGCATCCCATCAGACAACGACTTCTCATCTCTGCCTCATCCCATCACCACCACTATTGAAACAAAGATTCCTAGCAGCTGAAACGAAATTAAATCAAACAGCAAATATAGTCACTTACTTTTGCTTTATCTCGTTCAAGGCTCTCTTCCAGGTCCTCAACCCCCACGACCGATCCAGCCGCACCCGAATCAGATTCTTCAAAATCTTGTGCTCCAGCCCCCTCTCCTTAGCCGCTGCCTCCAAGAACCACACCGTCCTCTTGACTCCTTCTCTGTCCAGAGCCGCATCTCGCTCCCGGAACGCCGCCCGGAGCTGGTCCCGCACCACGTACCGCGCCGGCGCCGAGTACTGCACCGCTCGGAGGAGGCCCCGGTACAGGTGCCGATATGCGTGGGTGATGTCTAGTTTAGGGGTTGTGGTTATCATGATGCTGGCGTTGAGTCTCTGTGTGCCTGAGTCTTCATGACTCTGTTTTCCAAGTCGTCACGAAGGGATTGGAGTTGTGTATAAAATGAAGCAACTTCAACACTGCTTGGAGCCATGCGCTGACTTTTACACTGTATGGTTCTGATTTTTTGCGCACGGAGGCCGCAGACCTATTCCCACCACAGTGTGACTTGCGCATTCCTCCATTCCCCGTGTACGTTGTATAAACAATGGATCATGTAAATCATCAAGCGCTACCAAACGCATCGCTTATATAGACTGCTATTTAATAGTGCCAGTACAGGATTCACACCGATGCCTTAATCTCCTCCATCAGTCTATTCATTGTCAAAGTACGAGCTGTCCAAGTCATTACGCCGCTGACCGAAACACGCAGCAGTTTGTGATACGTTCTCCGTAACTCCTGAATTCTCTCGAGAGTCTCTATTTCCCCTCACTCGTAGCTATCATTTGCTCCTGCTCCTGCTCCTACTCCTTCTCAGCACAGACTAGATCTGTGCAATTCATGTACATCTTATGTACTAAAACCAATGTCCTTTTGCCAGCAAGTAGTCTAGGCCAAACTGCGTATCCAATGAAGCGAGAAGCATGACACTATACCCTCGCTCCGCTGTCTATATGCCCCAAGAAAAAAAACCAAAATGAAAAGAGAAAAGTCTATAGGGGGTACTCCAGAAATGAACATAGCAGCCCATCTCAATTGCCATTACGACCCTCATCTTCCTGCTGGCCGAGTGGAGTATATCGCCCTTGTCCACTGCTCGAACTGCCCGAACGGCCACGGTTGACGACCCTCGATAGCCATCCGCTGATGCTTCGGTCGTCACCACCGCTCTGGGGCACGGGCTTGTTATCATTGACATCAGGAGGGTCAAGAGACAGCCCTGGAATGGGAGTCGTCGAGCGGAACGGTGTACGCCCTGATCCAATGGGTGATCCACCCCGGATAAGCGACCCGGTTTCCGCATGAATGGACGGAGTGGCCACGGTGCTAGCATCGCCAAATATCGAATCCATGTCCTCGAGGCGTACTCCACAAGTCTCTGGGTAAATGAAGTAAACTAAGCAGGCTTCGGTTAGCAATTGATCAGGTGTAGGGAAACGTCGTGAAGCGCAGAGGCTCATCAATGCTCGTCACTTACCAATAACAAAACTGGCCACACAGAAGAAGGCGTGGACAAGATACAGGCGCCATTTGATCCATTCTTGCAAAATCGGTGTCATTTCACCGACTAGCCAGTTGAAAGCCCAATTCGTAGCAGTCGACAAGCTGGCACCCTTGGATCGAATGCTCAGAGGCAGGATTTCGGGAGGGTAAAGCCAGGGAATTGGTCCCCACGAGTATCCAAAGGCAGCATTGTATATCATGACGAACAAGACCACCAACCTGGGAGTCCACTTGATATCGAGATAGAGGAAGTAGGAGATGAGAGACAAGGAAATAGCCATGAAGATGGCTCCGGTGAGAAGAATCATTCGTCGGCCCCATCGATCAACGAGATACCACGGTGGAATGGTGGAGAGGAAATAGGTGATGCCGTTCAAACCAGTCATGAGGACAGCATCATGGCCAACCCAGCCGGCGGATTCGAAAACATACGGTGCGTAATAGGAGATGACATTGATGCCGTTGAGCTGGGCAAGACCCTGGGCGGACATTGCGATAAAGACCCGAGTACGATATCGCCGGAACATCTCAGCGTACGAGCGTTCGCCCTCTTGACGCTGAAGAAGCACACCCATCTTGATTTCGCGGTACTCATCGCGTGCCTTGGTATTATGAATATCACCACCACCGTAGAGGTTGGCAATGACAACCATGCCCTCTTCGTCATGATCGTTGTCCAGGAGCCATCTGCAAAATATGGGGGTTAGCATTTCGTGACTGGCAAAAGATAAAAGGAGCCCGTATTATAAAGAGCGGAACGGTTCCTTACCTGGGCGACTCCACAATGACCAAGCTTCCCAGTGCCAAAAGAGCGCCCATGATACATTGCATCATAAGCGGAATGCGCCACGACAAGTTACTCTCAATAAAACCACAGCCATAGTCGACCCATACGGAGGTTGTGTAACCGACGATGTTGCCAGAAAACTCGATACACGCGAGTTTTCCACGATTGTGGGGTGGGGAGATTTCGGACTGGTAAACAGGTACGATGGTGGAAAGCATACCAACACCAAAACCAGCAACGATTCGTCCAAACATCATCATTGGCATTGACGTGGCGAGAGTCTGCAATGCTCCCCCAACAAAGAAGATGCAAGAGCCATATAAGATGGTACGGCGGCGGCCAATGATGTCACCGACGCGGCCAACAATGAGGGAGGATATAAAGGCACCGATTTCGAGGATGGCAACCATTGTCCCTACCTCGGCTTTCGAGGGGTGGTTGAAGTAATCGATGAAGTACGGGCCTCTGTTAGAGTAATTGTCAGTTTTCATCCATCAATTTACTGTTGCGCAATGGAAGGAAAAGAGTAGAAGCCTACATAATAAGGCCCGACATGACGCCTTGATCATATCCGAAAAGAAAAACTCCCAAAGACACGAAGATGCTTGTAAAGTACCTATCGCAAGCGTTGTTAGCACGACCAAAACCCCATCACGTCAAGGACGGAATTCGTACAGCAGGGGCTTGCCCGTAAGGCCGTGGATGGAGCCTGAAGAGCCCGCCATGATGGAACCGATACAGCGTTGCGCTCGAGACGGCGGTCGATGACGAACGTTGGGAATCTCTATGGCCTCTTTATCGACGAACGGAGCCGGCGAAAACGAGTGGGCGCGCCGGTGCGGCGACGGGTCGTGGATCCGAACCTTCTTCTGCGACTTGTACAACGGCTTCGACTGTCGGCGCTGGACACTGGCGAGCAGCTCGTTCTCAATGTCCTCGGGCAGCTGGATGCGGACCGGGTCGTTGTCGTCGCCGTACTGGTCGCCAATGTCGCCAGTGTCGGTCCAGGACGATGTCTCAGACTCGGACGACGGGCGGTGATGAGGGGCGCCGTATCCCCTGGTGGAAAGGAGCGATGCCGATGGCGAGTCTTGGTCGTCCTTGTCGAGGTCGGAGCGTGAAGGGAGCGTCCGGAGAGGGATGTTGGAAGGGAGCCGGGTCGACGTTGGAGGAGGAATGTTGGGTGGTTTTGGGGCTGATCAGCAGCAGCACCCGCCTGCAGGCTCTTGACTTCTAAGGGCGCGGAGAGCAAGGGAGCAGATGAACAAACGAGTGTTGTCAGACCAAGTATGGGGTCGGGTGACAAAGACAGATCAGATTGGCGTCAATCAGAGACGGTGATGTCTTGGTAGAGCCAGCCGACTGGAGTCAAGCCGAGCGAAACACCTTGGCGGCTCGGAGCTGGGGGGTGCCGGGCAAGGTACACGGGCAACGCGGGAAAAGTACAACAACGGTACACTCGATAACCAGCCAGAGACGGGCAAAAACAGAAGCGCGACAATGTCCTGGCGCATGTACAGCTCCGGTCCGGCAATGCGGCGATGCCTCCAGCCTGGACGCAGATGACCCAGTTTCGAGAGCCACGAGCCTCACGATACGTCACTGGGGGTCCGTTTTTAGTGCGTGTGGAGTTTCGTGGCCTTGCGACAGATGCACGATGGAGCGAATGTGAGGGGAGGGGGGCCTTTTTGGGGGGAATAAGAAGAGCTGGCAGACAAGTTTTTTTTCCAGGTAGCAGGCGAGCAACAGGGGACCCCGAGTTGGATGGTTGAAGCCTTGGAGAAGCGAGAGACAAGAACGAGACAAAAGACGGACGCAGCAGAAAGGTGGAGATGGAGAAGGAGAAGACGCAAACCGTCAAGCGGCGGCTCTGTGGCGCGGCAGTCCTGGTTCCAGCTGAAAAGGAGGCGAGGCGTAGCAATGCAACAGAGGACAAGAAAGTGAAGATGCCATCCGTCAAGTTGGAAGAGGGATTGATTGGGTTTGAGTAGAAGAAGAGAGGAAGAGGAAAGTTGAAGGAGCGAAAAAAAAAATTCAGGTACAGCGGTTGATTAGACGGATTCAGGGAACATTGAAGCCCCGAGATGACGACGTGCCTAATTTACAGCGCTCTCGCCCGCCAGATCCGCGCGATAACGCGCCTCTCAGGGGCAGCAATCAGAAACTTGCGCCTCACCTGGTGATGAATCCATCGGCCTGCTGAAGCCACATTCACCAGGAATAAGTTAGGCATTGATTTTCAATATACATTGATTCTTTCGAATACATCCTTACGACTCTAAATTGGATCAAATGAAAACACGGAAGTGTTCAAACTACAAGGACACAGGAAAAGAATAACAGGATGGACAACCTTCAGCAAACTGATAAGCAATTGGGTCAACCTCCTTATTTTGCTCCTACACAACGCGCCTCGTATTATTGGCGCCTCGAATGGCAAAAACCCCCCAGTGATCAACAGGAATGCCAAGCGCTATTCCAGCCTGTAACCTCACGTGCATTTCCGCTCAATCTCAGCTGTGGGACGCCGACGTCAGACGACATCCTTGGCCAAGGTCCAGCGCCGATCTTCTCACGACTAAGCGGGCGAGGCGCAACCATCAACAGGTTTGAAACCTTTGCGAGAATCCAACTCTTATCAGACGACTCTATAACATGAACCTGCCAGGTGACGGATAGGCGGTTAGGTACTCGAGATGGCGCGGTCACTGGTACTCAAGGTACATAAAGCTCAATTCAGTCGGCTTACAGTCAGTCCAGCCATGGTTAAAGAGGTCCCGTTCAAACATGTCAACCTTTGCTGTTGAGCAGCAGAATATTCAAGTTGTTGTAAATCAAAACGTTCGAAATTTAGCCAGCGACGCCCAACAATGTATCATAGAGCTCAGTAGACCAACTACTGTTACCGTCAAGGCTGACCCCGGCCTCGGCTCGGTGGATGTTAAAAATTCCGGAGCACACATCGGTGCCGGGGCGGATCCGTACATATATGAACCCGGGATGGCCGGCTGGTGCAAATCCATGTTAAAATCTATGGATGCAACAAAGATGAACGTAGTGCCGTTTTGTAGATTCTATGTGTATGCCCAACAGTTTTTAAAGAATTCTTTTTTCCACTGCTCCAACTCAAAGAATACATGTACATATCCATCCATATGGGAGTTGACTTAACCGGATGAACTGTAGTGCTCTATAACGATATTTCACGCCAGCACCTTGTCCAACTCATCAATAGCAAACTGAAAGCAGGAAAATCTTCCATTTCTGGCCCGACATGCGACAAATTCATCATAAACTTCCATTGTAGATGGTCGGTACTCCTGGGGGAGCCATAGCACCCGCTGTTTGCCCCTCATAATCCACGTCCCAATGCTCGATACCGTAAATGCAGACAGCGTTCTCCTCATCAAAGCTCGTTGGGTTGGCGGAGTCTTCATGCAGTCTCGGTAATCAAAAATACGCAAATCGGCTTGAAGCCGCAATTGAGGGTATCGAATAGTATCGTGAAATATCGGCTCGAAGAAGTCGTCAAGAATTCGTAAACATGTGCCCGTCTGCACGTCGTAGATTCGAACAACACTGGATTCCAATGTCAGACCAAGCTGTGTACCATCTGGTGAAAATGCCATAGCAACGCATTGGTCAAAGAGGCAACCAAATCTGGCCTTCATTTCATCTATAGTATGCCGAAACTTTTCACCTGTGGATAAACGCCATATGTGGATCATCCCCCGATCCGAGGCCGCCATAAGTGTATCATCCGATGAGATTGTCAATCGAACAGACCTACTCACCCAATCATCTGAAAGTTGTGAATCAATTACCTGTAGATTCACACCTGAAAGAACATCCCAAATTTCAAATTTGGACGATGCCGAAGACACAAGTCGCTTGCCATCTGGAAAGAATACCATAGAATAAATATGTCTTTCTTGCGTAGGTTCAAACTCCTTCAAGCATATTCCAGTGGTTGGGTCGTGGATGTTTATGACACATCTTTCCCCGAAATACGACGATGCTATTGCAAGTTGTGTGCCATCTGGCGAAAACACAGTTGCGCAGACTGTCCTTGTGTTCATAAGTGTGTCTAAGGGCCCGTCATTAGACACATCCCATATTTCTATATCGGATAGAAACATTGACACTGTGGCCGACATGCCATCTGGGGAGAGTGCGGATGCTTCGCAGCTTGGGTAAAGCTTGAATTGCTGCAGACACTCGCCTGTGGCATAATCCCAGATCCCGACATGTGCGAGACCAGACATTGTCATCACTCTAGTAGAGGTCACCGAAAAATTCAGATCCCAGAGATGGTCGAGTTGATCGATTTTCAGAAGGCATGTGCCTGTTTAAGTATCAAGAATGAGAATCATATCCCTTCCCGATGGCACTGCAAACTGCGCGGCATCAGCTGAGAACTTCGGTTTACACCGAGATGAAGTGTTCATTTTGAGATCAGGAAGATGCTGATCTGTAGTTGAATTCCAGATATGTATTCGCTCATCCGTTGCATTTTCTACACAGGCGAAGTGCGTTCCATTTGGTGCAAATGCAGTGCATCTACACGTAGTCATACCGATGCCGAGATTGTGTGTCTTCAATTGCATCCTTGTGCCAAGATCCCAGGTTCGAATAATATATTCGCGGTGTTTGTCTCCGTAGCTTGCAGCTAATCGTGTACTGTCCAATGAAAATGCCAAGCTGTGAACGGATGCATTAATTCCGAATGAACATCCATGTAGCCATGTCAAGGCCGACAAGTCGTAGATCTTGACTAGATTAGATGATCCCATGGCTAGAAGTTTGCCGTTGGGTGAAAATGCTAGCAGCCGAAAATCACTTGAGCACTCCAATGTATGCAAGCGTGTACCTGTCTCCAAATCCCAAGTGCTCACTTTTCCAAATGCACTCGCAGACGCTATCAGTGCTCCATCCGGCGAAAATGCTAGGTCAAAGCATGTGGATTTTTTTCCTTCAAGGGATTGAACAAGTGCGGTCCATTCTACCGGCATCTCTGGTTTTGTTATAATCCACTTTGGCACCTCAGTCTCCTCATACATCTGCCGAATTATGCTGGAACTGGGACTAAAAATGAGTGCCGAGCTGTAGACTTGCAGAGGTGCCAGCTCGATTCCAACTTTATGTGCGAGGACGAAACGAAAAACATCTTCTATAAGGTTTCGCATTATGTATTCCTCTCTTATTGACTAGGCATTGGTTAGGATCTGTTTGTCCTGATATCAAAAGGCTCACTTACCAACTTCTTCAAAACCCTAACAATCCTTGCGGCATCCCGCATCTTGTTCATTAAACTGAGTGCCTCCAACCAATTCAATAACTTCTCTTTGAGGAAATGGTGAACGATGCCATTGTCCTTTAAACTCAGCATACATTTCTCTCTCTCCAGATCATTGACGGCTTTGAGATGATCCACCCAGTATACACAGGAGTATCTCGCATGTTTTAGAACATCTTTATCTTCGTTCAGTGTATGTTCTTCGACAAGGGCACCGGAATAGCGTAGATTATACATATCTCGACGTAGAGTCGCTGATAAAATGTCCAATGACCTCGAAAATACGGTATAGTGTTGGCTTCCGAGTCCAGAAACGAACATGTTGTCTTTGAGCAAGAAGTCTTGAGCCGATTGGTGCACAAAGAGTCATCTCTCACAACTAAAAAGATCCACATGAGGCAATCATCTCCTCAAGTTCTTCTCCGTCGAACTTGTTCTCAACCTCCAAGAGAGATGCCAATTCCATCAACGTGATTGGCCTGTATAGGACAGAAACCAGCCTAAGAATCCTCTCACACAAGTCGGAGTCTTCTGATGTGCGAATTTGCTGCGGCGTTCTTTCATAAATAGGAACAAGATCGGATGGAAATTCCTCCATCTTCTTCAATACGTGCCGTTTGCGCACTGAAAGTTTCAACAATTCTTTGCACACCAAGGCAACCCACAGAAAAGTTCCTTTCGCGTTGTCGGTCAAGTAATTCCGGATTATCAGCTCTGTCTTTTCGTCCTATTTTTTTACGTCTCTTAGTCGAGCTGTTTTATGAGTAATATAATGCTTAACGGCTTCGGAGACTGAATGCTCATTCAGTTCGAGGGAGAATCGAATGTTCTGTGAGATTGTGCTCAACTTCTCCTCAATTCCATCCCAATTTCGACTGGACACGATCCATTTAGCGTGAGGGCCTATGGATTTCCCAACGATCAGATCAAGTAGCCGCTCTAAATCTTTTTGGCATTCATCAAGCGCATCAATCATAAACACCTGGCCTTCTAGGCTAGGGTCTTTTAGAAGCTCGGTGAATATTTGGGATAACACGACCCAGGAATTGGTATCTTGGAACAATGCTGCCCCCGCTTGGTCATATTTCTCTTGAATGTGCGAGAGAAGCTGCCGGTTTGTATCCACCAAAAGGTAAATGAGGCCACGCAAGACAGCCGTCGCGCTGTTAAGTCGTGGATCCGTAGCCTGGCAAAAGAAGTAGCATGGCTTTATGCTCTGTCGTTGCAGTTCATCAATGATGCCACACAGAAGCATCGTCTTCCCTTTTCCGGGATCTCCTTTGATCCACAACATGTGGTTTGCCTTCTCATCTCGCCAAGCAATAAAGTCACTATGCTTTATAGCCCAGTCATGGGCGCCTTGTAGAAGGCCGCCATTTGTATCTTCGATTCGAGATTTATCATCGCGGGGATCAGTGACTCGGAGATCCTTTAGGCATCGTTCTTCTTTTTCGCTAAGGATATGCTTCTTGATTGTCGGCCAGATGTCCTGCATTTCGCCTCGGAGCACCTGACTCGCAGAATCAAGCTCGCCGAGTCGCCCCCGGATCTCCAGAGCATTGAATATTCTTGAATCTTCCTGGACAGTCGCCTCAGCATTCCGAATATCATCCAATTGGCCAGTCCAGTTATCAGCCTTTATCATGTCTCTCCAGATAGCCGGTCCATGTCGGCGGTAGTAGCGACACACGCTCTTCATTTGATAAAGTAGAAGCTTCTGATACAGATTTATTGGGCATAGTCGGAAGATCAGGCTCGGCAGACAAATGTTCTCTGGTGTCTTTCTTCGGATCTGCACTCGGGTGCTTTCCTTTCCGTTCTTTCCAGAAGGGCGGCATTCTTCTCTGGAAACTGTTGTAGCACAGAAAACAAGAGTACGGTAGGTGGCCGATAGAAAGATGATGATAATTCACGAGACTGATTAATGTCTGTATGTGTGAACGGATCTGTGAGCCGCTTAGAGGTACAGCCTCCTCACCAGCTGGGCGGTGACCGGTTCGCTCAGGTTTCACAAGCGGGTATCAATTGGTCGATAGCTTTCTAGCAAGATGCACACGTTTGCAGCCGGCTCAACCAGAGTGCCGGCAGTCCTTCCATGTAGAGACCATCAAATAATTCGCAGATTTACCAGGTATCTAAAGATCAAGATCAAAGATACCTCCATGTAGGCTTATCAAGCATTAGCGGAGCTACCCTAGATAGGCGAAGCATTTTGTTCGATTGGATTGCAATCAGAGACGTCCTCTTGAAGAAATAAACACTTTGGGATATTGTCAGCGATTTATTGGACGATGAAGCACGTGTGGCTGTAATTATAGTGAAACCATGTCGATGCACTGTTTGTAGGCATTCATCTTCGGCTCTTAAGTGCAAGCACCTTCAAAACCATCAACAGGAGATACAATTTCGAAGAATTACTACCTCTACACCTTAGGGAAACCAATGCAAAGGCTTCATAATAGTAAATAAATCAGAACCAAGCACGTGATCCGCTACAACAGGCGCCCAACGCCTGGAACATCTTCCGTAGTATAGTGGTCAGTATGCAAGCTTGTCACGCTTGAGACCCGGGTTCAATTCCCGGCGGGAGAGATTTTTTGCCCATATGCTGTAATGGCATATCTTTTTTCAAAGGCCGATAGGGTGCTATCGTGCTCTGTTACCCTTTGCGCACATATTCAACTCAACTAGGCACTATGGTGCAGCAATTACACGGAGCGTATGGCCCGGGATATTGGGCCGCCTGGACAGGTTTTACAAACTCCAATACCAATGATGAGATACCCTCACTGGTACAGTAATGTCCGCTGTGGATCTGGTCTGGTCGTCTTTCTTACAAGTATTATATTACAAAGTATGGTGAGATTTTTTACTGCCAAAGACAAGATAGTCTTCATCCGCTAGGGATTTCGGGACTGTGAGCACTCCGCAAAGCGAGAAACACGGATGGTACTCGGTATAGTGAGCGACGGAAACAAAGTAGGCGATTGTTCCGACGATCGCGAGTGCCGCTCATCGATCAGGCAGGGAAGCGAGAGCGCAATTTTAAAAAGAAAAAAAAGAAAGGAAAAGAAAAAACAAGGTCATCCAACCACGGGACGGGACCCGCTTAGCTTGTCGAAGCAATTTAATCGTAACACACGATTCACACTAATCAGCCGGAGACGGGCCTCATTTATAGGAATGGATGTTGCAGTTTGAGCCGCGAATGGTGTACTCGTATGCACAGTATTCGCACCACAGGTTATCGGAGGCACGCAACTGGACGCAGTACGCCTTCGTATTCTATAAACAATTATAGAGTGTAGGAGTCGATTTTACGACAGTAGCACATGACTGGAAGAAGGATGAAATTGCCATTTTTAGCAATGACGGAGTTCTGCAGAGAAGCAGTTCTGCGCTCTGTCTGGCCGACGGAGCCGCTGTGGAGGATGCAAAGCCGAAAATACCTACGCACGGCGCTACTTGGACATGCATGAACGTGCCCTGTGCTCTACAGGAGGACTTTGGTTGGAAGTAAGCCGGGATGCTGATATGGCAAGACTTTGTTCTGCAGAGTTCGTGTGATGCTAGTGTGCATGGAGGGAGAAGCTCAAAAGTTCCCATTGGTTCGCTAAAGGGGGTTTGAGGGTGTTTGTGCAGGAAGAGCGAGAAAAAAGAAAAGAAAAACCTAGAAGAATAGAAAAAGAAAAGAAAGAAAGAAGATACGAAACCAACGTGCATGATGATCAGCTGCACGATGCAATGCGTATCAGCAAGGCGACGCAACAGCTGGAGCGCCAGGCAAGGCTTTTTACGAGCCACACGTCGAATATGCGGCGCCACGTAGCTCTACATCGCGGCTTGTACTCGTAGTTGGAGTAGGAGTAGCACTCCATGCTAATGTACGTGATGTCTGAGGCACATGTCGATTGGCTGCCGCTTTAGCCATACGAGGGAAGCCGCTTGGTTAGCACGCGTATTTGATGCCAGTGGCAACAACTTGAGTTATAGAGCGTTATAGCGCATCCTAAAGGTGTCTTACTGCATATTGGAGCTGTGGACTGGAATCTGGCATTTGCAATGGACCGACGCACCAACTGTAAGCCCTGCTGTACGGTGCTCCGTATTCCACACCAGGTACCTGTACTCGTACACTCGCACGCTGCACTTTCTTTTCGTAATAGTCAGACATTAATATTCCATCCCGAGGCCATCAGCCCCTAACGTGATATAAGGTCGCACCTCATTGTTCCGTTTGCGTCCCTCTGTCTCAGCAGAAATGGTCAGCTTTCCCAAACAAGGGTGATCCCCTGGCAAAAACGGCTGGCGAGCCAATCGCAGCGCGCGTAATCCTAGCGTGGGATCACCCGAGGCTCCACCTCGTCCACTCAGCAAGCCCGTTCCTGCTTTAGCTGCCAAGTCGGGCCCAGCAGCACCTGGACCTGGCCTAAAAGTTGAGGCCGGGCGTGCTAGACTCGCTGCTAGGGCTCAGTGAAATGCGCTAGACTCAGCGTTGGGTCGGGGGGGCTTGACGGGGCTTAGGGGGAGAGACAAGCAGAGCAACATGGCCGTCTGTTTTAGCGGCGGCGGCCCAACCACTGGCGATGGGAAAAGCGTTGCTGCTTTTATGAACGAGCCTTGGCGACACCAAAAGGTCCTCCGTAGCAGTAGGTATTACTGTACTGTACAGCCAGTAAAATAGCGTGATGGCTCTCAGTTTTCACGTACTGTAGGTACCCTCTGTGTACACGGCCGGCGGTTCTCCCTTGGGCCAAGACTCCCTTGGTACGGGACCTCAGACACAATGGGTATCGCCAGGCGCTGTCCCCCGGCCCAAGCTTCCAGTTGCTGCAGGTGCGTCGAACCCCCCCGGTTTTTCCCTCGGACAGCCAACAAGTCTCCCTTGTTTCTCTCCAGTGCTGAGGACTCGACATTGATCCCGTCCAGTCCAGTCTTTTCTTCCCACTCTCCCTCCTCCACAGCCTGAATAACCCACCCCGAAGCGAGAAGGCCTCGTCTCTGACCAGCTTGGAGCGTCTGGCCTGGCCCAAACAACGGCCCAAACCAAAGGCGCAGACGGGGCGACGCATTGGACGCGATCCATCCATCGTCGGGCCTCGACACCGCGAATACAAGTATTACACATACCGTACACATACACCGCCGGCGGCGCTTTTTATTTTGGGCTACCTGTCGAGTACTTCGCCCCATTGCATTGCTGTCGCAACCGTAGCGCGCGCAGGCACGTCGATATAAGCACCAGCAATCAATCTCACAGCCTCGTTGTGGCCTCCAACCCTCGATCCGACCGGAACGGACCCCCAGAAGCGAGAGGGAGGAAAAAGGAAAATTCAAGGGAAAAAAGCAAGGGCTCAGCTCAAGCCTCTTTTACATCTCGATCCCGATACGCGCTCCCGACCAGCTTCTGCAGCTGCCTTAGCGCCACCTGCAAACGAGACGCCGACTTGCAGCATCCCGACGATCGATCTCGCTCCTGTCCTGCTGCCCATCCCGCCAATTCCTCCACCCCCGATTGTGATTGCATCGCTGGATGTTGCTCGCGTGCTGATCAAAGTGCAAAGCATCCGCAGTCACAATGGGGTCCACAGCCTTTGGCAACTTCAACGTACGCCGTCGTCCCATCTCTGCGCTTTTGGTGTAGCTGGCTGATCAAGTTTGTAAACAGGACTTCTGCAAAGATTCGACCCTGCCGATCTGCAACGTAAGTGATGGTTGGGGATATGAGACTGGGCAGAAAGAGACGACAAGAGACGGCATCTATTTCAGGGATGGAAGCTAACCAGCCGTCAACCACAGTTGCTATCCGAAGAATTCAAGAACCAAACCGGCCCCTGGGGAGGATGTGCGCTCACCGGAATCCCGCTCAGCGGCGGCCGGCATCTGGGTAACGTTGGATCAATCATCCTATGTGGCATCGGTATTGCCATGGCAGCGTTCCTCATCATGAAATCGGACAGGAAAAAGGCTGCCGTGGGCCGTCGGTATGTGCTACCATGCGTACACAAACACCCCGGATAACACAACTAATATTGGCGTGACAGCGAAATTCAACTGTTCCTTCTTGGCTATATTGTCATCAGCATCTGCGAGATTTTTTCAGTCGGCGAAATCCCTCTCGGCAAGACTGTACGAGTGGTACGCTTACCAGCCATCCCATTTCGTCCCCCCCCTACTGTCAAGGTTCTCGTTCATAATCTATTAACACTCGTGATATAGGCTTTTAGTGGCATTCACATTGGCGCCATCATCGCGACTACATGGATCCTTATGCTCAACGCTGTTGTTGGATTTCAGCTGCTCGATGACGGTACCCCGTTGTCTCTGGCCCTGCTATTTGGCTCTGCCGGCGCCCTCCTCATTGGAACTGGCTACATTGCTCTCGACACGGGATTCAGCTGGACCGGGTTCTGGGACAGCAGCTATGAACTTCCGAACCGCAACATTGCCCTCTATGTGCTATACCAGCTTATCCCTCTGCTATTCCTCGTTGCATTTTTCGTCCTTGAAACTATTCTGGTCCTTCGAATCCTGGGAGAGCTCCGCCCGATGATCTATCTGACTGCCGCTGCCCTTCTCTTTGCCATCGGTCAGGTTTTCAACTACGTCATTAGCAAATACATTTGCGATGGGACCAACGGCAAGATTGACGGAGCCCTTTTCGAGACGCTGTTCACGCTTCTGGCCGTCGGTATGGTCTGGGTCTTCTGGTCAAGCATCACCGAGGACGACTGGCCTATGCCGGCAACAGAGTCTTACACCTCTCCAGGCTATACCGCTACCAGTGCAGCCTATGCCAACACGGGATACGCCAACCAGAGCTATTCCAACCAAGGCTTTGCCTCGCAATCCTACAACTCCAACAACCACTCGCACTCGCAATCCTACAACTCCCAACCATACAACTAAGATAATCTTGCAACATTTTGGGTTTCGAACCTCGGCGTTTACAGGCGGCAGCATTGACGGCTTCACTCTTTTGTTAATTTCTGCTTTTCATATATATACGTTTTCCCCGACGAGTTGATTACGAGTCGAACGACGCGCTCACGCAGCACATATGGAACTGGCTGAAATATGCCAGCAGTGACGGACTTTTCTTTTTTGGTTGGAGGAGGTGGGGAGACTGAGTGACCAGCCGCATTATATTGGAGCTAAAGCTGCTTTATGTTTATTTGCTTTTTCTTTTGTTTAGGTCCCCATGAGGGGGCTTGGGCTTCTTTGGTATTAATGTTTTGCGTACTGGTGTCACTTTGGCTGGAAGGCATCTGGTGAGTTGGAGAAAGATTGTGGGAGAAAAACATGTGTTCTGGTTTCTATGTTACTCGCTAGGCGGGCTTCAAGGCCCGATAGCCTGTACAGTGGTTTAGATATGACTTTGTAGTATACCCCGGAGGAGTGAGTAATAATTGAAAGTCGAAGTTTTTTTTTACTTGTTTGTATAACATTGTGTCGTTCACAAAGTGTGAAATATTGCGTGAATCTGATAGGCCGTTGTGCTTTGGCGGAGAACTGGGAGCACTAACGAGGCTGAGATAAGTTTCCAGCTAAAGCAGCCTTATCGATTTCCATCACCTAAACTCTCCAACTGCACGTCATTCACCTTTTTCCTTTCTGTCAACTGCACGCAGTCTTTTCTTTTTCTTGCTCAAAATATCCTTTTACCATTAACGCATAATCTTTCTCATCTACACCTCATTGCAATACCCAATTCACCATGGCTGACTCCGATGGCGAGTTCGTCGCCGACATGTCCGACGACGACATCATGGATCATACCGTGACGGACGGCGACCCGAGCGCGGCCCGCACCAAGGGCTCGAAAGTGTCCAAGAAGAAGCGCGACCGCAACGCATCCAAAGCATGGGAGCAGTCCAGGCGAACGTGGGAGACGGACCTCCCCGAGGAAGACGATGGCATGCTCAACCTGGCGGGCTACGAGGCCGAGCGACGCCGGCGGCTGCTGCGCGACACGACGCCTCTGCAGCGGGGCATCATACGGCATCTGGTGCTGGTGCTGGACATGTCGTTTGCCATGGCGGAAAAGGACCTGCTGCCGACGCGGTATCGGCTGACGCTGAGCTACGGGGCGGCGTTTGTGCGGGAGTACTTTGAGCAGAACCCGATTTCGCAGCTGGCAATTGTGGGCATGAGGGATGGCGTGGCGGTTCGGGTCAGTGATATGGGAGGGAATCCCGCGGAACATCTGGAGCGGCTGCGGGAATTGGAAGGGCAGGATCCTCAGGGGAATCCGAGCTTGCAGAATGCGTTGGAGATGTGTCGAGGAGCGTTGTTGTGAGTTGTTCCCAAGCCATCTACTTTTCAGATTCGATACTCGATGTGCTAACTTGATGTTGGATGATAGCCATGCTCCTTCCCACGGCACGCGAGAGGTCCTCATCATCTACGGCGCCCTGCTCTCGAGCGATCCCGGTGACATTCACGACACAATCAGCAACCTCATTGCCGATCGAATACGGGTATCTGTGGTTGGATTGTCCGCCCAGGTCGCCATCTGCGCGGAACTCTGCTCTAGAACAAATGTGGGGGACGACTCACAGTACAATGTCGCCATGGACGAAACACATTTCAAGGATCTCTTCCTGGCGATAACAACGCCGCCCGTGAATCGGACCAAGGAACAGAGCACATCTAGCCTGTTGATGATGGGCTTCCCCTCACGGACGCTTGCCCCCGGCGGGACTACGAGCTACTGCGCTTGTCACAGTAAACCTTGCCGAGAGGGATATCTCTGCACCCGGTGCGGCGTCAAGGTGTGCAGGTTGCCTTCGGAGTGCCCCGCTTGTGGCCTGACGCTCATTCTATCAACGCATCTTGCTCGTTCTTATCACCACCTTTTCCCCTTGCGGAACTGGGTCGAAGTCCCTTGGGCCGAAGCCCCGCGGTCGACAGCTTGCTTCTCCTGCCAGTGTCCTTTCCCCGAACCCCCAAAGCCAAACAAGGAAAAGGGCAAAGACGAAGCGCCGGCAAAAGCGCCGGCAAAGGGTGTCAGCGAAAGCGGGAGGTACAAGTGTCAAGTGTGCGGCAATCATTTCTGCATTGACTGCGACGTCTTTGCTCACATGGTGATACATAACTGCCCTGGATGCCAGAGTCAATCCCTCACTGCTCCGACCCCTGATGGGGTGCCGCCTGTGGAGGCAAATGGGAATGGGTACACGAATGGCGGAGTCATGGCTATAGACGGATAGCTATCTGCTTGAGACTTTGTGGATGGCATTCCCGAGGCTGATTTTTTTTCTTTCTTTTCTTTTTACTGCAAGAAGCGTCATGCGGGGTGGATCTTCGGATATCATTGGATATTCTTTACAATAATGCCGCCTCTATTTATTGTTTTATTAATAGGCGTTTAGATGTGAGCGTATTACGGAGCGTTACGGTTGGAACCCTATTGATGGGGAGATACCATTCCAGCTGCCTCTACTCAAGGTAGTGTCATTTAAAAAGGATGAAAAAGGGGAAAGATGTACAAGATATCACAATGGAGAAAGCCAGTGAGCTTTTTGAAATATATTCAAAATTTCATTTCAGCATGATTTCGTAATCGTGGCTGCTAACTACCTGAATGCTCCCATTTGCATCATATTGGATGCCCGTTACATAAAACTCCCGAAGCTGTGTAGTAAGACATATAGAAAAAAAAATCCATAGATCGGCGGCTTCTCTTTCACGCCGTTCCTTTTAGGTGGTGGGTATTACAAGAAAAAATTACAAGTTTCCTCGCTCGGCCTGCTCGCGCTCAATGGCCTCGAACAAGCTCTTGAAGTTGCCGGCGCCGAAGCCCTCAAAGTTGTTTCGCTGGATAATCTCAATGAAGACGGTGGGGCGGTCCATGAGCGGCTTGGTGAAGAGCTGCAGGAGATAACCGGCCTCGTCGTAGTCGATGAGGATGTTGAGGCGCTGGATGGTGTCCAGGTCCTCCTTGAGCTGCCAGTTGCGCTTCTCGGTCTTGAGGCGCTGGCGCATGGTGTCGTAGTACGTGGTGGGCACGTTGATGAACTCGACGCCGCGGGCGCGGAGGGCCGAGACGGAGGTGATGATGTCCTGGGTGAGGAGGGCGATGTGCTGGACGCCCGGACCGGAGTTGAAGATGACGTACTCCTCGATCTGGGACTTCTTCTTGCCGGGGGCGGGCTCGTTGATGGGCATCTTGACGAGGTTGTTGGGCGAGGCCATGACGATGGAGTTGAGGGCCGAGAACTCGGTGCAGATCTGGGAGTCGTCGACGGACCAGAAGCGGTGGAAGGACAGGCACTGCTCGTAAAAGGCGCAGGCCGAGACCATTTCGTTCCACGACTGGTTGCCGACGCAGTGGTCGATGCGGGCAAGGGGCACGTTGGGCATCGCCACGGACGAGGTGCGCTCCTTGCCGGCGCGGAAGCCGGGCAGGAAAGGTCCCGTATAGCCCCGGCGGTTGATGAGAGTGTGGGTGGTGTCGCCGTAGGTGCAGATGACGGCCGTGGTGACGGAGCCGTGCTCATCCTTGGTGGATGTCGGGCCCTGGACGGCGATGGCGCCCTCGGCCACGGCCTTGTTGTAGACGGCCTCGACGTTGTCCACCTCAAAGGCAACGTCCTTGACGGCATCGCCGTGTCTCTCGAGGTGAGCGTGAATCTCCTTCAGGAGCTTCCGCTCGGAATCGGAGATGGTCTCATCTTCGGGGAGGTGAGCCTCCGACCGCAGGGGCGAGGTGAAGACGAAGCGGACGCCATTGTTGCAGACGACATACGAAGCGAAATACCGGCTTCCGGTCTCGAGGCCACGATACGCCGTGGTCTCAAAGCCGAAGAGGGAAGTGTAATAAGCGGCCGCCTGCTTGGCGTTGCCAACCCACCACGTTACGTGGTCATAGCCGGTGAAGTCGGCGGGAGGCTGGATGGCGAAGTTGTCGGGGGTGGTGCCGTTGTTTGCAGGTCGCTGCTCTGGGGAGTTGCTGATAGCAGAAGGGGACATTGCCACTCAGAAGGTATTTGGGGGTGAAACTGGGGGGAGACCCGGTTTGTGTATAAGTGCTTTGAAGCAAGTTGTGTTGACAAGTAGGTAAGAGTTGTTGATGTATGAGACTCGAGGGTCTTTGAATGGTGTGCTGGCTGTTTGATATATATCAGATTTCAGGTGTCCAATGACCAGGCCTGTGTGCCCCGAAGAAGGGCAACGCCGCTGATTTATGAATCCAAGCGACAACTGTTTCCAAAGTTACTCGCGAGCCATCGGAAAGCTCCCGCACGCCGAGCAAAGCCATCCAATGGATTCAAGCGGCTTTGCCCCAAGGTTTGAGAGGCGGCTTACGTTGGTTTCGCAGGGCTATTCCTTTATCCTGCCGTTAGCCCCGATCCCATCCCAATCTCCCATAAGCCAGCGCTCTCACTGGCTGCGATGCCCATGCGGGGGCCACCGCCTCGATCGCCCACTGCGCCCTTGAAGCTCCTTTTTTCGCAGCATCACCGGCCGTAGCGCCGGGATACAGATACGCTGACTGCCGTGCGGAATGATGCCGCCCCGGCGGTGCCAGCCGAGGAGAGCCGACAATGGCCGCCCCACCCGAGCCCGGCTTAAGTTCCGTTGCCACCGCCTGGGCTGGGGGATGACGCTGGGACTCCCTACAATCTACCGGTTGAAGCTTAGGCGATCGATCAGACGAGAAAAGTTTCCGCTGCGGTGTGACTTTGGTTGCTGATAAGCTCCGCTGACTGCCGAAGGGCCTGGTCGTAAACTTTTAGCCAAAGCGGAAGAGCCCAGTCACTTGACGCGGCTACTCAAGGTAATCCCAGACACCGGATAGGCTGTCCCGATTTCATATGAATTCTTGTCTCTTCCATGTCCATTTGATTTGACAGTTGCTCAAGTCATCTCATCATTGTGAAGCCTGTCTGCAAGTAATATTTGATAATTGATATCAACTTGCATTGATCATCATCTCCTCTTGTCTACCACAAACAACAACACCATCGCCAAAATGACGACAGTATCGCTGAGCCGGCACGACATCAACGTGCTCGAGAAGATCAAGGACCCCGAGTCCAACCCGGCCGCAGGCGTCGTGATTGACTCTGCGCTGCCCCGTGATCCTCAAATCGTCGACCACAGCGTGTATGAGAGAGTGGTGGAAAGAGAACGCGCCATCATCCGCACTCTTCAAGCCATCGAGATGCAGCTCGGCAGCTTCCAGAGCGAAACCGACGCCGACAAGGCCATTGAGAGCTACAAAAGCTGCGTGTCAGACTTTGGCAATCTCATTTCAGATTATCCTCTCTATGCTAGCGCCAGAAACAACCGCGCACAAATCATGCGGCGGCTGTATGGAGATTGCATGCTGCTCAACTACACATCGACCATGCCCATGCCGCTGATTCCCCAGCCAGAGCAGTCGGAGAAGAGAAAGGCGGCAAAGGATGCACTTGAGGATATGGAAACTGCAATCCGGCTGCTCACTCCACCTTCGCCAACAACTCCCATGTCTTCACAGGCTGCGCGGACGTTGTCCATGGCGCACACTCAACGAGCGGCCATCTACCTGAGAACCGCCAAGCTCTTGTCAGATCGCCAGTTGGACGTTGACGACAGCCGCGAGGAAGCCACTTGGTCCCGCATTGAATTCGAAGAAGCCGCCTCAAGAGACTTGGCTCTCGGAGGCAGATATGGAAACCAGATTGCAAAGGCTTTGGCCGTCAGCGTCAACCCAACGGCGAAACTCTGCGGCCAGATGGTTCGAGAAGCGATGAAGAAGGAGTATGGTCCCGCGTTTGAGATGTAAATTATGTGTTCCCCCCCTTTTTTGTTTGTTTGCTTAAAGAGCCAGCTGGGTACATGAGGTCCTCCTTGAGTTTATATGTCAGGAGGAAACGGATGAATTATGAAATTTAGCCAACCAGGGTCAGCTTTGAGCCCCGAATATGGCGTTTTTGTGTATCTAGAGAGCATGGAATGGTGGCGTTTCTTTGAACTGATGCCTTGAAACGGCGATGAAAAATTCTACTTCTTGGAGAGCCCAATGCGTCTATAACAAAATAAATCAGCGCACACGAAATGTTGTAGATTCCACCCGTGTCTGTCTCATACCGTAGACCAGTCTCTATTGTCTCATTGGTCGTCTTTCCCTTGGCCTTTTCTTCACGGTTGATCCTGGTTACCGCCGCCGATAATCCAATCACGACAGCAAAGATGGGGTCAGCGACCCGAGAAATGATGTACGTCGGCGCAGGCATTGCTTGGGAACTGAATGTGCTCTATTGCCGCAATCCGATTGAGCTCAAAAGCGGGTTATAACGCTCTTTTTATCTTATCCCCAAATATTCATCTGGATGGACACCCAGGAGAGCGAATAGGGAGGGGCTAATTTTTTTTGTGTGCACGGACCACCTCGGATAAGGAAGCGCAATCACCACGTGACATGGCACCTGCGAGTCGCTTGCCCCAAATCGTCAGCCCACAAACCCCAAATTTTGCACCAAATTCCCGATCACGGTTCTACGACGAAATCCTATTCCTCCAGCACATACCGACCACCCACAGGCAGGACAAAATGAAGTTCCTCAAGGTCGGCCGAGTCGCCATCATCACCCGAGGCCGATATGCCGGCAAGAAGGTACGAAACAATTACGAGTTTCTTCGCGCGCCCTCCCAGCTCAGTTCTCAAATTTGCATCGACGAGTTCTATAATTATTTTTCTTCTCTTCCCATTTTGGACGGCTCGCTTGTTGTTGTTCTTGTTGTTGTATGGGAAGAGGGAGGAGTATAGAGGGAAAAGAGAAAGGCCGAAATCGATTTTGAGAACGAGCGCTGTGGAAATTTTTCATCCTCATTTTTGCGAATTGCAAACTTCACAGTTTCCATACAGAAGTGCTGACACGCATTCTTCTTCTTCAGGTCGTCATCATCCAGCCCGTCGACAACGGCAACAAGCCTCACCCCTTCGGCCACGCCATCGTTGCCGGCATCGAGCGCTACCCCTCAAAGATCACCCGCCGCATGTCCAAGACCCGACAGGAGAAGCGCTCCAAGGTCAAGCCATTCATCAAGGTCATCAACTACAACCACCTGATGCCCACCCGATACACCCTTGAGCTCGAGGGCATCAAGGGCACCATCTCCGCAGACACCTTCAAGGAGGTCAGCCAGCGGGAGGATGCCAAGAAGACTGTCAAGAAGGTTCTGGAGGAGCGATACACCAGCGGCAAGAACCGATGGTTCTTCACCCCTCTGAGTATGTTTTTATCTTCTCCCGTCCCAATCCGGTTCCCCATCGATTCATCCCAAGGTGGCACGACACAATGGAGAATGCAGAGAGAGGAATTCCAGCAGCGATTCAAGAGCTAACAGTGTCGTTTCTTTCTTTTTAGGATTCTAAATTAAAAATCGTTTTCTCCATCACGGTTTGGGAGTTGGCGGGATGTAAAGAGCATCGATTGGTACTTTTAAGGAACCACGGTCGGTTCATGGGCTCAATATGAAGTTCATTATCAATTATTCACACAATAATTTCTTTACCACGTGAATGTCTCGTTGCCAGTGACGTGGGACTCGAAAGCGACAAAAACAAAAATTGAGCTCGAGGGAAACACGATCTACGCCAGTGTCCAAACCGACACTGCTCATGAATGGCAACGACGGAGGAGAGAAAGATAGACCGTTTGGCTTGTAGCTACCCCAATTGATTTTTTCTGCATCCTAAAATGACCATGGCCATGAACCAGTGCCGTTTTCCCCTTCGCGCGCAGTGTGTATGGGAAGGAATATTCAAAGCAGTCACGAGAGCTGATCCAATTGCTGAATTGATTGATTCTCAATCTAAAACTATTAAAAAGTTTTGTAGTGATTTCATCTCTACATCTCTCTATGAACTCGTCTCTCACGCCGTCTAAAGTACATCAGATTAGACCTTGGCGCAAAACAAACTTGATTTCGAGCAGCATCGACCTGGAGTGCCGCTCGACGCTCTATAATTATACACCAATAAAAAAAACAGGTCTCAACAGCCAAAGAATTGCATAGCCCCCCTCTTTGTCTCCAAGTTAGGGGGGGCTTCTTTTTTGTTTGCTGGTTTTTGGCGCGAAGAATGAAACAAAGCGCTGGGACCTCCTCAGGGCCCGTCGCTCACAAGAAACAGAAGATTGACCTTTTAGATTGTCTGTCCTTCCAACCAAACAACGCCGTTGACGCAATCGTACTTCGTTTTACAGTTTGGCCCTAAAAGAAGCCATGGTTTCATTCATGTGACGTCTTACTCGGCTCCCGCGGCGGCGGCGGCAGCAGCATTGCCCTTGAAGTGGTTGGTAACTTCAGTGGCGAGCTTGGAGGGGTCGTACTCAGGGGCGTAAGTGGGAGCCAGGCCACCAAAGACGACGAAAATGAAGAGCACAGCCATCACGATGATGGACAGCTTGCGGAGGATAGGCTTGCGAGCACCAAACTCGGCCCACTGGCGGCCGGCCTCACCAGCGTAGCCTTTGAGAGCCTCGAAGCCAAGCTTGTAGTAAACCATGCCGCCGAGGGCGATGGAGTAGCCAAAGAACTGGAGAGCAGTCACCTGGGTGCCCCAGATCATCATGGAGGCAACGACAAGCATGATGTCCTTGAGAACACCGCAGAGGGTGAGGACAACAGCAGAGGTCTTGCCAATCTGTATAGAAAAGGACCAGGTTAGCAAATCTGAAGCTGAATACACTTGATGCGGTGTAGACGAGTGATTTAAAGGGTGACATACCAAGAAAACGACGGAGACGTTGAGCATGAAAGCGCAAAGACCGTTGAGGAAGAAGGTGAAGAACCCGACGTTGTACACCTCAACCATGGAGACCTTGGGAACCTCCCAGATCAAAGCAACCACACCGTTCATCACGGCGCAGATGGGAGCGAAGTAGTACAGAGACACCAGGGGGTCCATCTTGAAGTCGGCAGAGCTCAGCAGTCTCTGGACCATGGTGAGTCGGAGAGCCTCAAAGATGACACCGGCAATCTGGTACATGACACCAATAACGACAAAGTGGATTTCGCCCATCGACGCAATGATGACACCAACAACGATGGCCGAGACATTGAGGAACTGCTTCAGGTTTGGCTGAGACACACCCAGAGCCCAGCCAGAGATGAGGACAGCAACGGGCGTGGTAGCCTTGAGCATCTGGATGAAGGCGACCGAGAGGTAGAGGTAGGTCAGGTTACCGCAGATCAAACTCAAGCTGAAGAAGATACCAATAGGCACAACAGCTCGCAAGTATACGCGGCCCGTCATCTTAACCGTCTTTCGGCCATCGAGCATAGTCGTCCAGCGGGCCATGACCTGGGTGACGACGGTGGCAAAGGTGAGGTGGTAGGTCGTGAGAATGACGGGATAGCCTGGCATCAGGGGCATCAATCAGTACACGCCATCACGAATTGGAACTTGGGGGGTCAAAGAGGGAGCAACATACGGAAGTTGAGCGTGTCCAGGAGCCATTTGTTGAACAGGATGACGGACGAACTGAAGCCGATCCATGTGCTGCGCGCGCATTAGCCAAAAGAATCCCATCACGTTCGCTCGCGATGCAGTTCCCAACTCACACAACGTAGAAGACGGGGTGTAGAGAAGCCTTTGCGGGAGCGGGCTTGTCGGCCGCGGGATTGATCGTGGGCAAGACAGGCTCGGAGCGAGTGATGTCGCCCGAGACTCTGGTTTTCTCTTCAGCAGACATGGCGGCGGGCAGCTGATTGCAATTCGCAGCGTGTATCGAAAGATAAAGGTGGTTGCGAAGGCAATGCTCGCAGGTTTGCTTTTTGAGGTTTAGGGGAGAGACGCGCAAACGAACGAGCGGACGGACAGACAGGCAGTCCTTTTTTTAGCAGGCAGGGTACGTAGCCTCAAGAAGGCGACAAGGGGGCACCGCAAACCAAGGTGGGAAGAAAAAAAAGAGTGTGAGGGGCGTCGAATATGCAATAAAGCGAGGGTTCGTATCAAGAAAGAGGAAAACAGGGACCGCCCGGAAAAAGAATGGTCTTGTCTTGCGCAAGCAGCCAACAAGTGAGAATTAAGTAAGCCGGCGCTTTCGGCCAAGACACGAGGAAGAAGTCAATATAAAGAGAGAGAGAGAGACGGAGAGAGAAAATACGAGTTGCACGAAAAGTAGGGATGGTGTGCTCGGGAAGAAGAAAAGAGGAAGAGACAGAAAGCAATGGCGTCGTGAGAGGGAAGGGGGACGTCAAATAGGGGACTAGAGAGAAAATCTAATGGATGCTACCAGACTACGAGCACAACACAGCCAGCCTGATTGACGGCACATCACATCGAGGCAATTAAAATCAATCCGACGCTTGTCCTGGAAATTGGCCCAATTCCTGCGTGCTGAGAGCGGACGTCGCTGGCCTGGCGCAAAGTACAGGTACGGGGCGTCCAACCACGGCAGCCGGCGCGGTCCAGGTACAAGAACCGATATATCAGCTCAAATTCAATGTTTGGCCTGGCTGGACTGGACGCTTCAGGGGGTTTCGCAGGGCCCTGGCACAACTTGGAAGAACAGAGGGAGCGCTACAGGGGGGGGAGGCGCCACTATCCCTCAGACCCCCTGGCGAATCAATCCACCCACGTTTGAGAGATAAGAGCCAAAAGATCATCTATGGAGTAACGGGGGTGCCAACAGAGTGCATCGCCACAGCCCTAGCCGTGTACAAGTACAGAGCGCGACGTGCCAGGCAAGTATCTGCCCTGTGAGAGGTCGTGCCGCGTAGGGATAATTTTAGTTGTGGATGGGTAATGGTAAGCTGGGGGGGGGGGGGCGCCGAGCTGGATACGGTCACATCAATAGAGCCTCTCTCTCATAAGCTAACGTCGAGCAAATTTCATCGTGTTCAGTAGTGAGGTGAAATGAATACCTGCTGTGGAAAAGAGAGCACAGAAGAAATCACGAAATAGAATAGGGCCACCCCGTTTTTTTGCCCTCGTATCAATCAATTTCCATGTCGGTTTCGTCTTATGCACAGTGCTGCAGCACAGCCTACGAGTAGGTACGGCACACGTAAGTACGAATAACTCGTATTGTCGCAGCACAGCCTTTTGAGATTGGCTTGGGTATTTTCACATGTTGTCTGCAAACAGCGCAAGTTCTGCACCCCTCCGCCTCGTCCTCTCTCTTCCATTGACAGCCCCGGACGCAGCAGCAATTTGGTCTCGACTGTTGTCATTCAGTTGCTTGTTTGTTTGTGAGGCGCTTCGCTTCGTATCGGATTCGTGCCAGAGGCGGGGCCGAAAAAGGGTACATGTAGAAAAGATAAAGATCGCGGGGATGCCAAGCGGTCTGGTGATGCGCCGCAATCCCTTTTTTTTTTTTTTTTTGCCGCGATGCTTTTATCTGATTGATGCCATTGAGGCGGTAACTTTTCTCCGCCAACTGTTGAACCTGGTAGGCCACGATGCGAGGTGCGCTAGGAGAAAGCTTGGCGCTGAGCTTCCTTCCGGTGGCCTTGCCGGGTCCGTTTAGCTTACAGGTCCGAGTTACAAGTGTGATACTGTACGGCTTCTATAATAATGGTCGTGATTCTGTCTAAATTGTTGATTTCCACGACAGTCTCTCAATCGTTTGTCCAAGCAGACATGGAATGTCATATAGACTGAAAGTAAGTACTGTACAATGAGGGCATTGCCGCTCTTGATCTTCACACTGTATTGATGTGGACCCAGCCGGTATTGAAGAGAAAAACCCTGCCTCTTGCTACTCCCTACGGATAGGTACCTGAACATGTATCATGCATTGGACGTGTACAAGTACCTACCTCCTCCTAGATGTACCTAAGGTAATACCTGTACCGACGATCCGTCAGGAGCCGGAGGCGGTATTCACATACAAGAGTACGAGTAATCGTCAAATATCCCGTATAAGTATTCCGTGCTAGCAAATGCCGTGCATCTGGAATGCTCCGTTGGGTCATAGATGGGATACATAGCACCAACCGACTATGACGCTCTCGCATCCCTTGAGAGCCTCCTTTGAACAAGCCAAGCGTCCATAGCTACACGGGTCCTCTACTCGGCTTTCCATCATCTCAGCCCAACGGAGCAGAGGACAGAATATTCATTCTCCTTGTTCATCGTGGCATCATGGTGGTGGGTCTTGTGTAAAACACGCGATTAATGCTCAGCGCTGTCTCCATCCACAGGACGCACGGCGTTTGGAATAACTACAAGACCTAACCTTACTTGCACTACCTCCCAAAACAAAGTCCTATATTCTAGTATTGAGTGCGAAGTGGTGCACCCTATGTACCCTTCGAAACTGCAGCCAATTAAAGAGCCAAACTTTGAAGATTCTCCCTCGATATAGAAAAGTGCACCACTTCGCACTCAATGGGATTGTATCCAGAATTTCAAATGTCTCTCTTGTTAGGTACCCCCAGCAAGTCTCCGTATGACAACCGTTTACAGAGATTTCGGGCGTGTTACGGAGCACGGAGCAGGTCGATCTTGATCTGCCATTGTTTCAGGATTAATACGGATACAAGAGTCGTGCAGCAACTGTGGAAACTAGGCTGCTTCTAGAGAGCGGGCCAGTTGATCTCACAAGGAGGCCTGGGATCCAATGACGTCGGGGGGGGCTCCAGAGAGGGTGACGACGCATCGCTCCGAGTCATCGAAGCTGAAGGGTCAGACTTCTGGGTCGAGGATCTGCAAATCTGACTGGAACTCACCGTCTTCTGGCTCAGGCACACAGAGATGAGCCGGCCGGCATCTCCTGGGCCTCCCTGAAGATCATTCCTCCGGCTGGCAGAATCTGCAAACCTGTTTGCCATTGTGGGTTTGGCACGAGCACGAGTAAATACCGTGCTTGTAGATCTATCTAAGCCAGGCCATCTGTACCGAAAGACGGCGACCGAGGGCGGCAACTAGCCTCTCCGGTATCACCAGCTGGATAATTGATACCGTATGTACGGAGTACTCGTACCAGTACCTGTGCTGCGAGCTTCCCTTTCCGTTGTGCCTCCTTTCCAGGAAGACGTAGGCCAATCAATTGCCGCTAGTCGCACGGCTGCAACGTTTGGTACATGTACATGCGGTTTGCGGTGAACGGGAGCTCAACGCAAACGGCCATGGACATATATTGCATTTGATTCGAATAGATTGCATTGGATAACGCTGCCCTCGCCCATTTGATAACGACCACGCAACACCATTACAGTCAAGCTTGTCCCGTGCAACAATGGATGGATTAGGCTCATGTCGCTGTGAAGCAGGTGGAGCGACCATTACAGATGGGTGATGGCATCAGCATGTTTGAGGAGTCCCCTGCTGCTGTGCAGCTTATTAGCGCCAGCGGCTTATTTGCAGCCATTGGCTTTTATCTTGACTTGAAATTGCGATGGCTTTGTTTGTGGATGCTTTTTGCTCGGAAATGGAGACTTTGTATATTTGGCCTGGTTAGCGCCCAAAGCTGTAATATTGAGTGAGGTGATGAATATAGTACCCTGTAGTACAAGTGCGAGTACAGTAGCTCGTGGTACAGTATACTACCAGGCAGTAAGGTACACAAATGATGCCCTCACAATCACGAACAAGATCGAGTCCCCTTGAGCCGGAGACCGTACGCGTGTCCTAGGTGAGCAAACCATTCATCTGCGTGTCCATCAGCTCGAATGTCATTCATCAGCCATCCAATATATCAGATGGAAAAGGCCCATTCGGTGCTCTATGGCGGGCCGCGACAGGCCCAGGAACGGCGTTGAATGTTGCGCGCTAGAGCAGTGGCCAAGACATGGAGCAAATTATGGATTCATCTCATACATAGGTACGGAGTACATGTGGACATCCATTGACCAGAACAGTGCAGAATGTTGGTTGCAATCAGGCAATGCTACCGACAGTATATATTCTCAATAGTCTTCAAAACCTCAATTAACCGGATACAGACAGTATGCAGAAGCGCCGCAAGCACCGTGGCTTCGACCTCGACTCGGCGGAGCCCCGAGTACTGCTACCTCTGCCTCGTAGCTCGCTCTCGTAATGGACTGGCCCAAATCTTTTTTTTCTCTCTCTCGCCTCAATTCTCTCGCAAACGGTCTCCAACACTGGCAGTGGGACCCTCCACCACGCCTCTTTTTTTCTCATTACCACTATCCCCCCTGGCCCCTCCAAGTGGCGGCTTGGCCACCCGCCGTTGGTCGAGGCTGGTGATACTAACGCCGTACGCGTGCTAGCACTTGTGCTTGTGAGTGGGATGGAGGGGTGGGGGATCGGGCTTGCCAGGGTCTCGAGAGGCCAGGTAAGGACAAGGACAAGAAAGGATGGGAGAAAATAAGAAAATGGGTGGGTTGGGCGTCGTGACAAGCCCCTGTCCCGTACTTGTACTGTACGAGTAGCCAGAACCGCTCCAGCCCCTCCATCACCGACTCCTTTCCCGGTTGCAACAGGCGTTGAAAAGCAAATTGCCTTGCTGCTGCGAACCATTGCCTCTCTCTCTTGTTGCTCCTCCATCCTCTCGCAAAGGCATCGTCTAATACCCCTTCTTCGCCTCTTGTTTTTGGCGTGTTTGCGGCTCTGTCCTGCATCTTCAGTTTCCAGCTTCAGCTTCTTCTTTTTTTTCCCACCAAATTTCCCCCACCATGCCTGCCGACATGTGCGTATTGCCTTTGCTCCCCCCTATTCAGCGCGAATAGCCAACGCCTCCTGCGATGCTACTCGCGTCCGAGGCCATCTGTGTAACGAGTTGCTGACCCAATTGCAGCAACGTTGACGTCCTCGTCATTGGCATGGGACCTACTGGTCTCGGTGCTGCGAAGCGTCTGAACCAGATCGTGCGTAGCTCCTTTCACCGCCAGGTTCTGGTACCCCGCGATAAGCTTCTGTTGATGCTAATATCCTCGCCAGGACGGTCCTTCATGGTTGATCGTGGACTCGTCTGACAAGGCTGGTGGTCTTGCCGGTACCGACACCACTCCCGAGGGCTTCGTAAGTCTCCATCTCGCGTTTTTGGGAATCTCGCATGGAATCGTTGCGCTAACAGCTGCTGTCTTTCTAGCTGTACGACGTCGGTGGCCATGTCATCTTCTCCCACTACAAGTACTTCGACGACTGCCTGGACGAGGCTCTCCCCAAGGATGACGACTGGTTTGTCCACGAGCGTGTCTCCTACGTCCGCTACAAGGGCCTCTGGGTCCCCTACCCCTTCCAGAACAACATCTCCATGCTGCCCAAGGAGGACCAAGTCCGGTGTATGGATGGCCTGATCGACGCCGCCCTGGAGCACCGCGTTTCCAACACCAAGCCCAAGGACTTTGACGAGTGGATTCTGAGAATGCAGGGTCCTGGCCTCGCCGACATCTTCATGCGACCCTACAACTACAAGGTCTGGGCTGTTCCCACCACAAAGGTAAGAAAAGGCGTTCTAGCCCGTATGCGTTTTGTCCGTGTCTCCGAAAACGCTGACATGGTTCTACTTTCCAGATGCAATGCCAGTGGCTCGGCGAGCGAGTTGCTGCCCCCGATGTCAAGACCGTCACCAAGAACATCATCTTGAACAAGGTCGCCGGCAACTGGGGTCCCAATGCTACCTTCCGATTCCCCGCTCGGGACGGTACCGGCGGTATCTGGATCGCCGTCGCTGACACTCTCCCCAACGAGAAGAAGCGCTTCGGCAAGCAGGGCGAGGTGACCAAGGTTGATGCCGAGAACAAGACCGTCACCATGGCCGACGGCACCACCATTGGCTACGGCAAGCTGGTCAACACCATGGCTGTCGATCACCTCGTTGAGAAGATGGGCAACAAGGAGCTCGTCACCCTGTCCAAGGGCCTCTACTACTCTACCACCCACGTCATTGGTGTTGGTATCCGCGGCGCGCGCCCCGAGCGCATCGGCGACAAGTGCTGGGTAAGATGTCCTTTACACACACGCAACAAATCATTTCCTAGGTTCAGATGCTAACCCCAATTCCGTAGTTGTACTTCCCCGAGGACAACTGCCCCTTCTACCGTGCCACCATCTTCTCCAACTACTCCCCCTACAACCAGCCCCAGAAGGGAGAAAAGCTGCCCACCCTGTACCTTGCCAACGGCGACAAGGCTGCCTCGTCTGAGGCCAAGGAGGGCCCCTACTGGTCTATCATGTTGGAGGTGTCACAGTCCACTCTGAAGCCCGTGGATGTCGACAACCTTCTCAAGGACTGCATCCAGGGTCTCATCAACACCGAGATGCTCAAGCCCGAGGACGAGATTGTCTCCACCTACCACCGTGCCTTTGACCACGGATACCCCACCCCCACCCTGGAGCGTGAGGGTGTCCTCAAGGAGCTGCTGCCCAAGCTCCAGGATCTCGGCATCTACTCTCGAGGCCGCTTCGGCAGCTGGAGATACGAGGTCGGCAACCAGGACCACTCCTTCATGCTGGGTGTCGAGGCCGTCGACCACATCCACAGCGGAGCCGTTGAGCTGACCCTCAACTACCCCGACTTTGTCAACGGCCGACAGAACGGCGAGAAGCGTCTGGCTCAGGCCTTTAGCTATGGCGCCCAGCCCCTGCCCACCCGGGAGAGGAACTAAGCTTCCCCGACATTGTTATGAAATTGAATAAAACTTTTAAAGGGCGCGCGTGTGCGCTGTAATTTGACGTGTACCTATGAGGGAGCAGCCATCAGAGTGGATCTTAGCTATCTTTGGCTTGCTATGGATGGGATTCTCAGGATCTGGAAATTCATGAAACGGCTCGAATGATTCGAACGCCCAGGGTTGTCTATGGGCAGTCGGGCATAGTATAGATTTTCTCGCTACTTAATAGCGAGACATGGTTACGATAGAAATAAGGAGAGCTGACCAGCTCTTTCAACAAATAAATGAAACTTTTGTTAAAACACATTCTCTCGTTCTACAGATTATCTTGATGTTGAAACAGGCATTGGAGGACACGAGAAGCCGGAACTTCATTGTGCCGCTACGCACATGTACTTGGACCCCGAGCATGTGCCGAACGTGCTAATTTGGTTCACTTGAAACATCGGGTACAGCTGCTGAAGATTTGTATCAACTGTGTGGTTTTTAGTGGGTTAAGAAACTCGGCTTGGCCACCTACATCATTCCATCTCAGGCACCAGACGCCAAAGGCGCTAAAAAAAAAAAGAAGATTTTTTTCTCTCTTCTTCCTGTCTCCATGGGAATAACACAGGAACGGGAATGAGTCAAAAAAAATTCTGGGTTTGTGCCTGAGTAAGGACAGCTGACGAAACCATTTGCCCAATTCCAATTCTAGGGTATCCATTGTATCATCATTGCCGTTTTCAGACGTGGTCAGTGCACTTTGAGATAGGATTGGGTTGCCAATGTCCGAAAGGTAACAGTACTTTGACGGCATTTTGATGAAGAAGAGCAGAAAAAGAAGAATGAAGAAGAGAAAAAAAGCCACGTGAAGCAACGTATGTCATCCACGGCGGGAGTATATGTAACTTACGGGTCAGATCCGACTGCTATACCGTGTGTCTACGCAACGCAACGTGCTTGTTGGTGTTTTTGTGGCTCAGAGAAAAAGACTGGCATCACGAGTTGGGTGGGGACCATAAGGTTAGGTAGGCATTTTCTCTGATACCTTGGCGCCTGGCAGTCGACGATCAGCAGACAGGCCCGATATGCCAAATTTCCCTCAGATGTGTCCGGAGTGATGTGGGCTTTGGGCTTGGGCTTGCACCGCGGCGCTGTTGGATCTTTGCACAGGATCCATAGCTACTCGTACATACATACATGTAGCCTTTGCCCTCAGCGAGGATTACATACCTGTACTCCGTAAGTAAGGCAACAATTTCATCCACCAGCAGTTTGCCAGCGGATCACCCGACGATGCCAAGGGGGGGCGATTGGCGGGGTTATATAACTGGATGGAGTGCTTTTGCGGGCAACCAGGCCCTTTCGCTCTGTGCTAACTGAAGGCACCGATCAAATTGCTGTAGCGAGCTAATGAAGGCGCGTTAAACTCGATAAAAGACGGAACTTGGGCGGTCTGTTAGCGCCTCGTTCTGGGATTTTCCCGCCGAATTGCTTTGCTCAGGCCCAAGCCGCAACGGGGCACAGCGTCTTCCGCGTTGCCGTTCCTTTTTTGGTGCGAGTTGAAGATATGGGCTGCGTGGCCGGGCAGATGACGGACCCGTTCAAGCAAATCACTCGTCCCCTCTTCCGGCAGAAAGCTTTTTGGCGTTTTGGCTGTTGCTCTGGCCTTGGAGGGGGATAAAATCGTGAGGAAAAGGAAGAGGAAACAGGCTGAAAAAGGCGGGAGACGTGCAGAGGAGGAGAGAGATTCAACATTCCAGCCCGGGGTTTTCTGATTCGATGCTTGGCCTGTCCGCCCTTCTGAGGAAGCGCTCGCCGATTTGTAAAAGTTGAGCTTGTATGTACCGTGGTAGTCGCGCGGGCTTCAAAAGAACCAGAGGTACCCTGTATTGGAGGCGCAGTACCTGTAGCCGTCTAGTGCGGTACCTGAATAGACCCTGTGTCGCAGCGGCAATCCACTAATAACTGCGGGCAACCAGCAGGTATCTGCATATCCACACGTCGACAGCGCAAGGTCGCTGAATCCGCGTATCAAGTACTGCGGCAGCCTCAAGCCGGGCGCAGTACAGAATGCGTCAACTCTGGTACCTGTGCCATACTCGTAGCCTCTGCCAAACAACCTACCACTTGCACCACTTGCACCACTGCGTCCGCTGCAACCACCAAGGCCGGGCCCCAGTTCTGCCAAAACCTCACACCCCGACTTTGCCAGCCCGCACCGACAACGCAGAAAATAGCAAAATTCCCAAAATTCCCACCAAAAGGTAGCCGGCCGCCCTGCCATTACCGGTCGCTGCGCTGCTCGCCGCAATAGCCATCCTCCGTTTGCCGATACAGCCACCGGGCCGACGATGGGCGCTGCGTGCGGGCTTGGATGACCGTCGACCAAGTGAAACGAAGCCGAGCATCTCCCCCTCCGCCAGAGCAGCCAGCTTGGGGGCTTCTCTTTTCTTCCTATGACCGCGCGCCATCATGGACGGTCCAGCCCTCGTGCCCGACGATGTGCTCGACCCGCCACCTCCGCCGCCGCCGCGGCTGTTCGAACGTCTTCGTCAGATAGCTGGGTATAGCTGGGACGAATCGACGCCGCCCTTCCACTCAACATATGACTTTTGGTGAGTCGCCCTTTTCTATCTTGCGGGCATCGCCGTGCGTGGTGCATGAATAAAAGTGGAAAAGCAAGGGAAAGAGGAGGATGAAAAAAAAAGTAAAGGAAGAAAAAAACATGACGAGATGGAATAAGAAATGCAGCGGGAACAGGAAGAAGTTGGAAGGAGGGTATATGCTGGAGATGATGACAGCAATCGCAACAACGACAACAACTTCCCACCAGATGGCCATATTGAGAGGCTAACCTTTGGCGTTTCTCCCGTCTCTCTAGGCACGTCTTCGGCACCCGATATATTTCTCCCTCGCTGCCCCCCTCCACCTCATCGCAGAACGCTTCCAGCCCCGGCTCCGTATCCAAGCTCCAGTCAGGTCGCCCAACTCCCTCCGATCATGGCGGCCCGCTCTCCAGCTACAGCTTTGGCTACAGCAGCGAACCCCCGGCCTCTCCACAACCTACCGCCCACTCCAATCCCCTCGCCTCGCCATCTACCGATGCAACATATATCGAAGAGCCCGTCGTGGCGCGCGTGTCGCACCATGCCCTCCGAGAGGAGAGGGCCTTCCAAATCGCCAAGAGCGTCTCCAACACGGCCGACCCCAACGGCGACCATATAGTAAAACCCCTTGATTTGATCCGGCTGAGCCCGGTGGCTGGCGACCGCGGGGCTATCGTCGTGGCCATATATCAGCACCCGGGCAACAATTTACTGCTTGATCTCTTGGACATGGGGCCCGCCTATTACCTTGCGCGCAAAGACGGCGATGCATACCGAGCTTACTACAGCAGACCGACCCTTCACCCCCCCATAAAGCTTGAACTCTTTCTCGACTTTGCGATTGGTGCGGCCCAATGCCTAGAGATTCTCCACCACAGCCGAGGCATGGTTCACGGGGAGATTCGGGGAGATGCGTTCCACTTCAACGCCGAAGAAAACAAGGTCCGGGTCTTGTCCTTCGGATCCGGCGTCCGGTCTTTCGAACATGGCTTGACAAGCACCGGCTGGTCGATGCTCTCGAAAGAGTTGGGAGGCAGGAACAAGCTGCTCTTTATCAGCCCCGAACAAACTGGTCGCATGCCCGCCGAACCCGATACCCGTACCGACATTTACTCGCTCGGTGTTCTCTTCTGGTCCCTCCTCACTCAGCAGCCCGTGTTCACCGGCGAATCAGCTCTCGACATAGTCCAGGCAGTGCTCGGCCGCAGAATCCCCAATGTCGCGACTGTGCGAATGGATATACCGGATGTCATTGGGCGGGTTATCCAGAAATGCACCGCCAAAAATGTTTCTGACCGCTATCACTCGGCCAGCGGGTTACGCCACGACCTAATCAGCATTAAAGAGTATCTTGAAGATGGCAACTCAAAAGCTCTCAAGGAGTTCAAAATCGGCACGAGCGATGTCTCATCCTTCTTCATGCTCCCGACTTCCATGATTGGTCGGCAAGAGGAAAAGGCCGCCGTTCTCAGGGTTATCAACCGCCTTGCTAGGAGCCATGCTGCCCTGCGTAAGGGCCCTACCAGCAGATTCTCGGACGGAGCTAGCCTCACCGAGATGATGGCGTTTGATGACATCTCCAGCGAAGGCGGCGCCAGCTCGGTTGATGGCCACAACCGCAGGAGCGGATCGTTTGCCCAAACCATATCGTCCGAGACTAGAGCAACGAAGAACAGCTTCTTCCCTACAGTTATATCAGAGACCATGACCTTATCAACTGATACCACCTCTTCGTCCCAATCTACTGCTGCCGCGTATCCCAGATTCACGAGGCCATGGGAACGATGGGAACGACATCAGTCTATTTCCTTGGGCTCGCTAGACTCCTCAAGCATGGTTGATAGCCTAAATGTGGAAGGACCCCGGGGTCCGCTCGACATCGGTGCGTCCAGTTTGTCTCGGCAGCTTGGCTCGTCCAAGTTTCGGCGTCATGGGCACTGCGAAGTCATCACCGTTGAGGGTGCCGGAGGCGTAGGAAAGAGCATTTTTGTGCAGTCAGTGCTGGCTGACGCTCGGCGCAATGGCTACTGCGCGACGGCCAAGTTCGACACTGCAAAGAGGACGCCCTTTGGACCGTTGCTGAAGCTTTTGTCGTCACTTTTCAAACAGGTGTGGGGCGAAAGGGATACGAATACTCAGTTCCACCAGGGCTTGAAGCAGTACATTCGTCCGGTATGGCCAATGCTGCACAGAATCTTGGGGCTGCCCGAGTTTCTACTTGGCCCACCCGACATGAATCTTGCACGGCCAATCTCCTCGTCTCAGAGCTCAGGTTCGCGCAAGGATATCCGGCCGGCGCTAAAGCGCAGAACGTCATCCCCTGGAATCGAATCTCCCGGACCATTGCAGCGGAATCTGGCGGGAGGCGGATCCCAATCCTCTCAAGACTACCTCCGTGCTGGA